CTATGGCGGCAACAATTGTTGTGCCTTAAGGCTGTCATACACTGGCTACTGCAAGGCGATAAGCGACATCTGTCTTACTGAAAATACCTCGACGGAAATCTAATAGTTCACAACTCAATAGAAGATTTGGCTTTCAAATTTGTACATTTTAGTATACCAAAAAAAATTGTTTCCCACAAAATGCAAAATATTTAATAAAAGTGTTTAGTACGGAACCGATAATTATTTTTGTTTTCATTTCTACTATATCATTTTGATTAAAACGCTTTTATTCTAACTTTGCTTAGAACACGTTTAATTGAGAACAGAGAATGGCTTTTGGGCCGCCTTTAAAAGGCTTAGAATGAAATGTCTGTAAGGTGTTGGTCAGAAACTGTTATGTCGTGTCGTAGTTTAAATGCCATGATCGTTACACATGTACAGGCACATCTAAATAATATAGGGAGCGCGTGGGCCGATTGAAATGACAACTATTCTTATGCCACCAAGTCGGAAGAAACAGAAAAGCTGGTATTGTACATATCTTCGCAACAACTTGGCTGATGTTAATCCAAAAGTGACTAGACTAGAGCTGCGAAATAAAAAATTTGCATTATTTTTCTGAAATTATGTCAAAACATTTCTGGTTTTACGAGAATATTTTTGAAGTGCATAAAGTATACCTCGTCTCAGTACCATCAAATAAATGGAAAATAAATTTATTTTTGAAATATGTTTGCCTTTTCGAGAAGCTGGGAATTTCTGCTCATCTGGTTTAGGTAAAAGAAAACTTACAATGAAGTATTGCAATAAATAAAAAAATGCAACAAAAATAACAAAACTCTTCGATGTTTAAAATTTCTAAAAAAAAAACTCTTTGGAGATTTTCTAGAAGTGTAGGGATTTACTAACAAAAACAATTAAAACAAAATGGAAGTGGGGTCCTTGGCAATGGCGAAGTTTTCGAAACTTTCATGAACATATTTTTACCGATTTTTGTCATCATATGTCAACAAACCTGCGGTACTAATTGCGTTGAAAGAGACGAAGTGACAACCAGAAGGTCACGGTTAAATCGCCTCTGCTTGTCGTACCTATCCGATTGGTATACTTACATATTTCGGACCAAAGTTAATAAACCATTTCATGTTCATCAAAGGTATAAAAAGTGCTGATGACTAGCAAGAAATCTGCAGTTACTTAATTTATTCATTATATTAAATATTAAATAAATTTATCAAATTTTTTTTCGAATTGAATTGAAAAAATTTTCCAAATCAAAATGACTTTTCGAGTTCTGACAAAAAATAAAAATAAAATTCGAAATTTGGGTGTGCAGTTGTCATTACACACTAACATAACTGCATATACTCGTACGTATGTATGTCTGTGCAGCTTTCACAAAATTTATCAGCGCAAAATACTGGAAATAACCAACATAGAATATTAATTTCGGCAAGTGGAAGTGATTTCCAAAAACACATATTTATGTACCTGCAAATATACAAATACATATATAAGCAAATGTTTGTACATTAGCAAGTAAAAAGTCAATTATGCAAAAAGTTTCTATGAAAAAGCCCAAGTATTCCTATCAAATGGCCAAATAAACAAACACATTGACACTATAAGTACATGTATATATGTATGTCTGTGTATCCAGACACACACACACACATACACCTCGGAAGTACACACATAATCATAACTGAATATTCAAGTATGCATTTGAATTGACATTTTACTGGATTTTCTTCTTTTTTTTTAATTTTAAACCAGTCAGAGTCACATAAATCTCAACCCTCAATTGTGAAGCCATGCAATTGCAGTTCGCACGTGCCAAAACTCTTCAAGCAGCAGTAACACCCGAGCGTGTACCGTACAGCGAGTAGCGAGTGGGTGTGAGGAAGCCAAGTTAGTTAATTGGAATTTTGACTCAAAAACAATGCCATTGACAGTGTCAACGAAGGCTTGGAGAGTAGTTTAGGCTTTGAGTGATTGATGTATGTACATTTGTATGTGTGGAAATGATTGGTGTTACTTCTACTGCTGCATCCGTGTGTCGCCTGCCAAAAGTATGACACGCAGCGGCCAGCAAATTTCCACTTTTATTAGCAGAATTTCGTGCCAATTGCGAGAAGCGTGGGAATGTTTGATAAATTTTAATTCAGATTGTGTTGGTATTGATGTTGGCGCATGGTTTGAGAGTTGGGTTGCCAAGTTTTTGTGGATTATGAACGCATTTTGCTCGTGATCACTTTATTTTAGTCAATCAACTCAAGTGGTACTCAAAACATAAAAAAAAAATTAATTAATTGAAACTGATTATAAGGAATAAAAATAATATAAAAAATAGACAATCGTAATAAATAACAAAAAAATAAAAATGAAATAAAAGCAAATAAAAGGATATATATATATAGGTAAATTAGAAAGATGAAATAAAACAAATATAAATAAAAATAAGGAAAAAAAGACAAAATGAAATAAATAAAAATGAAATAACACAAAAAAATAGAATAAAATAAAAAAATAAATTTAAAAAATGGGATTCTTAGGCAATACTTCTACCTGTAGTCCGCACAGGAGAGTTAAACACACGTCTTTACACTAAGAGTGGTTTATTCAGACTTAGAAAAGATTGGAGTATGATACAATGTAAGATGACACAATAATGTAATGAATGCAAGTGGGCTGCCATAATTTCCTACATGGATTTATAATAATAAAAAAAGTAAAACAAAAAACAAAATAAATTTAAATAGAGAAATATATATAAAATATTAAGATAAAATAATTACGAAAATAAAATTACACAAACGGAATCGAAAAAAAAAATTAAAAAAAAAAAATATTAAAATAAAATAGAATTTATTAAAATAAAAAATATGATGATAACAAAAATAAAATGAATTAACTAAATTAGTAATATAAAACACTACAAAAGCGTTTAAAAAAGGGAAATCAAAAAACTATTTAAAATAAAACAAAATGCATTAAAAATGAATAAAATAAATTAACGCAAAAACATAAAAAAAAATTACATAAAATTAACTTAGAGTAAATTAAATTAATTAAAATGAAATATATTAAAAAACAAAGTAAAATAAATTAGCACAAAAGAAACTGAAAAACACTTTTGAAAAAGAAATAAATAAAATACTAAAATAAAATAGAATTTATTAAAATTAAAAAATAAAAGAAAGTAAAATAAAATAAGAAAATTCATTAAATTAAAGTAGAAAAACTAAAATAAATTAAATCAGAGTAAAGTTAAAAATTAAATCAATTAAACAAAGAGAAATAAATTAATAGAAAAATTGAAAAACATCGAGCAAGATTAAAATTTAACCGAAAAATATATATAAAAATAATATATAATATATAATAAATAATAAATAGTAAATAATAAATAATAGATAATAAATAATAAATAATAAATAATAAATAATAAATAATAAATAATAAATAATAAATAATAAATAATAAATAATAAATAATAAATAATAAATAATATATAATAAATAATAAATAATAAATAATAAATAATATATAATAAATAATAAATAATAAATAATAAATAATAAATAATAAATAATATGAAATAAAAAATAAATAATAAATAATAAATAATATGGAATAAAAAATAAATAATAATTAAATATTAAATATTAAATAATAAGTAATAAATAATTAATAATAAATATTAAATTTTTAATATTAAGTAATAAATAGTAAATAATAAATAATATATAATAAAAAATAACTAAAGTAAAGTAAAATGCAAACAAAATATTAAATTAAAATAGAATTAATGTAAAATAAAAAATGTATTAAAATAAAATGATTTAAATAAATATAAAAATTAAATAAATTAAAAGAAATTTCAATAAATTGAAATAAAATAAAATGACGCATATAAAAAATTAAATTATATAAAATAAAATTAAAATAAATAAAATTAAATCAAATGAAGTTAATAATAAAGCTCCTCCTCCTATATGTGGACTTCCGTCTTCATGCTGGATTGGAAAATAAATGAAATTAAATAAAACAAAAAAAAAACTAAAGTACATTTAAATAAAATATAATAAAAAAAATTTAATGAACATAAAAAAAATATAATAAAATAAAGAGAAATAAAATATACTAAAATATTAAGCAAAGTAAAACGAAATTTTTAAAATTTAATAAAAGAAAAATGAAAGGAAATAAAAGAAATATGAAAGGAAATTAAATGAAATAAAATGAAAAAAAATAATAATAAAGTAAAATATACTTAAACATTACTTAAGGTAAATTAAAATTTTAAAATTTATTGAAAGAAAACAAAAACAAAATAAAACAAAAATTAAATTAAATTAAAAAAATAAAATAAAATAAAACGTAACAAAATTAATTAAACAAAAATAAAATAAAATAAAATCAACAGAAATTAAATAAATTAAAATAAAATAGATTAAAACAAAATTAATTAAAAAATAGCACTAAATAATAAAATTAAATATAATCTAAGTAATAAAGATAATTTTAATCAAGCATAAAAAAATCAAATTAAAAAATAAATAAAACCGCTGCTATATAATGGAGTCCATATAAGCTTAACGGCGTAGAGAGTAATAATTAAATATGGGATTTTTTCTGAATTTTTTGTTAAAAACGTCCAGATTAACTATTTTAAAAATTAAATTATATTTTCGAGTTCATAAGAAACAAAAAAAAAAATTATGAATACTTGTCATAAATATGCATACATAAATTTCGAAGATTCCCACTCCAAATTGGTAGCTAATTTACACAAATACATCATTTACGTAAATCGAAAGTTATATGCACATATCTATATCATATTTGAGATTATGTATTTTAAATCACTTGAAAATAACCGCACATACAACCAAACGCCGTGCTTTTGCTTAGAAAAAGTATTTTTCTTGCTTTGAGCACATTGAGTGTAATAAATGAGTGAATTAAAACCAGTAGCCTTGCAACATATAATTTAATCGTGCCACAAATTATAGAGTAAAAATGCCCTCAACGTGAAAATAGAAATAAAAAGGAAATTAAATTCATAAAAAGTGCAAAATTTAAACGCAAAAAAAAACTTGCGCTTGCAAAAGTCTTCAACTGGAGCAGTGTAAAAATCGAAAAGACAACAAAGAAAGCGTGCGCGCTGTGCAGAGCACAATAATTAAAGAGCGGGCACAGCCTGCAGCTAGTTTCTGTGAGCTCATTAAAAATTATATAAAAGCATAAAGAAAAGTAAGAACTTTTAAGTGAAAAATAGCAAACAGCAAAGTATTTCGCTTAATAGAAAAGAGAACAAAAACCCAAAGTGTGACAGCAGCAGTTGAGGCCAAAGGCAAAACAGGAACAGATAAAAAGACGAAAAGACGAAAAGACCCGACGCCACAATGCGCCTGCTAAGACTGTCACAAACGGCAGGCAATGCCGACGATGTGGCTGGAGCGCAGCTGACGCGTGACATCATTATTGCGAGTCCCCTCGACCAACAGCAACAACAACCGCATCAGCAGCAGCAACAGCAGCACCAGCACCCGTACCATAATATCAGCGCCATGCATATCGTGGATGTGCAACAACTGAAAATGGCCAAGAGCAAGGCGGCCAACAAAAACAACGCGCCAACTACGACAACGGGTTGCAGCAATCGTCGGCGTAAACAACATAAGACCAAAACTGCACAGCAGTTGCACGACGACGGCAGGGAGCTAAGCCAATATAACTACAACAACAAGCCACAACTGCAGCAAGAGCAAGAGCACCATAGGAGCACGACAACGACAACAACAACAACAACAGGAACAGCAACCGGTCTGATGGTAAAATCAAGGTCGCTGGAACGTTACACCAAGCCGCCGCATGCAACACTATTAGCCATGGAGCAAGAAGCCGCATACACGCCAACACTCAACACCTCGCCCCGCCGACGCTTCCTCTCACCATTTAAATCCCTAAAGAGACGTAGCCGCAGCAGCAGCAGCAGCGGTGGCGGCAGTAGTCGTTGTGATTCACGTGACGTCGCTGTCGCCGCTATGCTCGCCATCCAGCGAGAACAAGACCAACCAGAGCAACGTAGCGTCGAACAATTCGCCACCGCACAAACCTTGTTGCAGCAACATGCCGCCAAGCGGTCACAACATTTGCACTCGACTAGCTCGCAGAGCGGCGACAGCGGCACTGGAGGCACAGAACTGGAAATGGAACTGCAAGACTGCAGTCGCACCTCAGCGGCGGCGAGCAGTCAGCTCAGTCTCAGTTTCTCGCAGCTGAGCAGTGGCGCGGACGGTGACGGTGAAGTAGACGACGACAGTAGCAGCGATGTGGTGGCAAATGTGAATGCGAATGTGAACGTGCGTGAAGAGCAGCAGGTTGCAGCGCAGTCATTGACGTGTAAACGACGTTCCTCGACAGAAAATCAAACTGTGCAACATGTTGCAAATGTAGTGGTGCAACAAACGGAGTCACCTATTATATTAACTGAAAAGCTAGTGGTTGCTTATAATGATGATAATGGCAATAATGATGATATGGCTGACGAAACGAGCAATTTCGGCGTCACTGTTGACGATTTGGATGCTTCGTTTGCCGAGGAGTCTCTATATACGATCGGCAATATAACGCTCGTCGATGACACATACTCAAATTATGATCCGAAGAATGATGCCGAGCGCATGTTCCTACAGGTGGTGGGCATATTGCGTGATGAAAATGAGGTGGGTTTTGGTTTTTAATTTTTTTTCAGCTCAAAATTCATTTATTTCTATATATACATATTGATAAATTGGTATGTAAATATGCATATATAACCCATTCTCATTCCTACCTACATACTTGCATATATTTAACCAATATTTTCTTATTATATTATGTACTTACATACACAATTATGTAATTATTACAATATTCATTCTATCAGTGTTTAAATAAAAGGCTTGAAGGGGCTAGAAACTCGGAATGCATATGAAAAGGTTTAGGATTTGACAGGCACCGGGCTTAAAGCTTAGAGCGTTTACTCTAACGATTTCTTCCGCGACTGTTGGGACGAAGAAGAGGAGGCACACTCTCTGTCAGTGTCCCGCTTTGACATCCGCGCGACAGAAATTTCTTAGGAAACACTTATTCGTCGGTCTCGCTCAGTTTTCTTCAGTAAAGATTGGAAATCTCGTTGCCTTTTTAAGGCACTCGAAATGGTTCGATAATTTGAGAAGGTAAAGGCAGCAGCCTCAGCGGTATCACAATGGGCCTATTGGCCTAAGTGTGCTGGGGTTTGACCAGCAGCCGCATCAACTCAACTCAACTCAAGGCTTAGAGCGACGCTCAAAAGGAAATACTACGTTTTGTATTATCATCACAAAATCCATTCATCAAACCACTCCTTTGCGTTGTCACTTAGATAATATTACAAACAAATATTTCATTTTACTTATTTATTTAGCCCGAGATTTTTAAGCACAACAGACCGGCTTACATAATTTTGATCCTAAAACTTCTTCCTCCTTTTCACTGGCATAGACTCCGCGTTGATTGGAAATACCAAGTACAGCCAGGTCCTTCTCTGCCTGGTCTTTCCAACGGAGTGGAGTGACCGCTTCCACCGGCGTATACTGCATTGAAAGCTTTAAAAGGTGGAATGTTCTTATCCATCCCGACCACATAACCTAGCCAGCGCATCGGCTGTTTCTTCATTCACGCAACTACGTCAACATCCCCATATAACTCGTACAGCTCATCGTTCCATCGCCTCCCAACTTGTAATGATAACTCCTAACGCCGACTAATCAGATGTTGTTATCGTCCGTGCCTCCGCACCATTAAGCAGGACGTTAAAGATGAGCGACTTGCAGAATTCGGTCTTCGTTCTTACTTCTCAATTGCCTACTGGTTCTACGACTTCAGTTCATTTTCGTGCTATCCATGGCTGCTTTAAAATCGAAGAAGGATGGTGCGCGTCGATGACCTTTTTATGCGTATTTTCCAAGATATGGTGCAGTGTGAATACCTGGTCAATGGTTGACTTACCAGGTATGAATCCACACTGATAAGGTTCAATCAGTTTGGTGACGGTGGGCTTCAGTCTTTCACTCAATACGCTCGATAGAACCTTATATGGGATATTGAGAAGGTTTATCCACAGTAATTGGCGCAAACTATGGATCGCCTACTGACGCATGTATCTTATCAGTTCTCCTCTTCGTATTTGAATTGCTCGGCCGGTAATGCATTGACCCCCGCCGCTTTGTTGTTTTGTTGTTCCTTAAGCGGGCGATTACTAATCGAACTTTTTCATTGTCGGGCAATGAAATATTTTTTCCACCGTCATCGATTCCGCTTGTACATTTCGTGGTGTTGCACTCTGGGCATCCTCTTGGTCCTACATTAGTTTGCTCCGGCCTTGAAATCTTCCGTAAGTCGCCGTATCTTTTTCGTACCCTTGTCGCTAGATCAACTCTGTCGGTCTCCACTATAGCACCATAATCCTCATTGTTGTGTTTACAACATATTCCCATATTTACGCATAAAGCTCTGGGCAATCAACTAGGTCATTGAGAACGTCATACAATAATAGTAAAGATTGAATAGATCGTCTGAGATCAAATGACTTAAAAAAAAGAGTAAGCGTAAAATGGTAGGAGATCGGTAAAGTGAAGTGGTGCGAAAGCAACTTCAGGGCTATAGAAATCAGTTAAGCAATCAAAGAGTCATAAAAAGCTTTTCTTGTGTACGAAGTTTTGAAATCTATATTTTATAGTGTAAGATTAGAATTAGCTTTAGGAATAAGACAGTGTTTAATGAAAGTAAAATACACATCAAACCTTACTCCTTAATCTAGAGCTCCAGAGCATACAGAAAAAAATTGTTGTCTTAAAGCAGGTTCCATCATCATCAATGAAAACGAGTAAATATTAATGGGTAAAGAATGCTACCTTGAAGTACCGCAAAGGTAGCCTCGAAGGCGTGTGATCTCGTATTCTCTATTTAAACAAAAGAAAATCGATTAGAATTTGGAATCGAACTCAGTATAGAAATAAATTGTGCCGACCGAATAGTTAGCGGTGTGTTCTACCATCCGTACGACGACGGGCTTAAACCCTAGCTAAACCAATAATGAAAAGTATAAAAAATAATAATTTTAGTAGCAAAATAAGATATTACTTCTTATTTTGCGGTCGACCATCGGCAGGAAGTGCCGATGAAATAAAAAAGCTCATAAAAATTCATCATCCCTTCATTTATTGGATTTATATCAAAAAACAAGCACCGTTTATACAACATATACATATGTATGTGTGTATAAAGATATGAGTTACTCGAGAAAATATTGAAACAATCCTACTCGGAGCAGATTTTCAACAAAAAGCTCTAGGTAAGCTTTCGCTTTTAACATTCCTCATCAAGCCTTTGTATATATTCTAAGAATAAAATATAACGTGCACATCTCGCCACATAGTTATTATCATTGCTGAGCTTAAAGAAACAGTAGAATTTGTTTCTAGAATTTTTTTTATTTCTTAAGATTTTCTTATACTCGTAGCACGAAAGCTTATGCATGGGTCTGCTATTCAAAGAAATGTGTAGCATTTCACCGATTTCAGTTTTCATTATCACTGATATACAGTTAAAAATATTCCATAAACATATTATATATATATTGGTCAAGTAAAAGGTTTTTATTGATTTTTCAAAACATAGTAATGATAAAAATATGGTCTTGGTCCGATTTAAGTCAAATAAGCGTAATTTTCACAGGCCTCTCTTGAGGCCAACTGCTCACCATTAAGCGCATTCGCTATGGACAGGCAAAGGTGGTAATCACTTGGTGCCGGTATCCGGACTATAAAGTGGCTGCATTAGGACCTCCTATTTGAGATCCTGGAGCTTCTGGCGCGTCACCACAGACGTGTGTGGCCTGCCGTTGTCCTGATGGGACACAATTCAGCCTCTGGTGATCAAAGATGGCCTCTTCTGGATGAGTACTGCCTTCAAGCGGTCCATTTGTTGGCAGTAGAGGGTCGAAGTGAGCTTTTGGCCATAGGGGGAGCAGCTCGTTGTAGATGATTCCTTGCCAATTCCACCAAACACACAGCAAAACATTCCTGGCCGTTAATCCAGTCTTGACCACGACCGTTTGCGCTCGATGTTGTCGTATGTGACCCATTTTTCATCGCCAGTCACAATCCGCTTCAGAAACGGGTCGATTTTGTTGCGATTCAATTCGGTCCATCATGTTTTTTTTGCGTTAGTTCGTGTGGCACCCAAACATCGAGCTTCTTTTTGAATCCAACGTTATGCAAATGGTTCCAAACGGTTTTCTGGCTTACCTTTAGTTCTTCAGCAACTAAGTAAGTGCTCACGTGACGGTCTGTTTCCACTATTTCCATGATTTTAACGCAATTTTCGACGACAGGCCTCCCGACACGTGGTGCATCTTTGACATCGAAATTACCGGAAAGAAACCTAGCAAACCATTTTTGTGCTACACGTTCATTTACAATATCGGACTCCCAAACTAAATTAGTTTTTTCCACCAATATATATTATATTCCTGACTTGAGGTTTTACAAAAATTTTATGAAATTGGAAATTCATGATAATTCTAATTGAATGTCCTACTGTTTGGCAAGAGTTACCTCACCAAACGGTTTTTAGTTTATTTTATTCGTATGATTAATGAATAAATTAATATTTATTTAAAGCGAACTTTTCCTTTATTCGATTTGATATCAAGCACAGAAATTAAATGAGAGCTTTTATCAAAATTGCCTCGTTAAGAAATGATAAAAATTTTGCTACGCGCAACAACAAAAACTCTCTTTTATCGCTAACGGCAAAAATGCAAACTTTATTTTTTGCGGAGGAAAAATTTGGTAAAAAGCAATTACAATGGAGCTTCGATGCAACTCCGTGGCCTGCAGTGAAACGTTTGAAAAATGGGGCCACTTTGATGCTGTCAACTCCGGCACTACTCCACGCTGCACGTGTCACATTGCCTGCTCCTTTTGGCGCGTTGCATTTTTCTTATTTTTTCCCTTCATAAATTTACATTATTTCAGCCATTTTGCAATTTTTTGCCATTTTCCAATTTAACTTAATTATGAAAAATGATTTTAAAGTTTTACTTCGCCAAGAAGCTTTCACTTTGTATGAACTATTCCTATTCCAAGACCCGGCAGGGAGAAGGTAGAATAGTATGCAAGAATTCTAGTTAAATATTAGTATTTTCAATATAAAATCATACCTACCAACCTTATTTTGTTGTTACTATATATCGGCACGTCACGGCTGAATTACATTCTCTGCTCTCTTCTGTTGAAGTATGCAAAATGACTTTGATCGCTAACTTGTCGCAATAGAGCCATTCGTTTGTTGTTGGTGTTGTTGTTTTTAGTGCTCACGGATGAGTTTCATTTCCTTAAAATTTCAGTTGAACTGCGCAGAGTTCGTTGCTCTCTACTTGATAACGAAAGCTTAGTGGTTAAAGATCATCACTATGGTGAGTAACGATTGACCTTCGATTCTCGCAGCAGGCAAAGTCTTCTTTTCATTACATTTAATTTTTTATCTATTATTTGGTGATATAGAAATTCACCACGCTTAATGAACTGGTATACAACTAGTATTAAGCTGATGTATAGTTGGACAATTTTCAGCTTATAGGTCATCGCCGTGTTTAAAATACATGGGAAACAGTTGAAGAATAAATTTAGAGTTCAAA